TGTCGATATGGAACAAGAACAGAAAGCGTTATGTTCTGAGCAGAATCAAAAGATTTCTGGTTCCGATATGGATATTACGAAAACTGTTAGCAAACTTTCAAAATCAATAGTAGTTAAAAAGTTATTTAGATGAAACTTGTAGTGCTATAGATGACGGAAAAAATGAAAATTTGGAATTCAGGATAGAAAAGTTAATGTTTCATTGGAGAAAGGTAGTTGGTATGAAAGAAGACGAAATGATTGAATCTATTGATATGTATGATGATATTTTAAATGAATTAGGAATTTGACGTGTTAACTGTAACTAAAATCATGAAGAAAAAACTTAAGGATAATGTGCCAAAAATGGGAGAAGTTACAAATAAAAAAATTGATGATTTGCCAACACTTCCAAAAATTAACGTACCAACATTCTTTGGGGATTCCAAAGACTGGGACCTGTTTTATGAGTTATTTACCGAACTTATTCACTTAAGAGAGGATCTAAATCCTACCTTAAAATTTAATTACCTTAAAATTTCACTTAAGGGAGAAGCGAGAAATGTAGTTTCTCACTTATTGTTAGGTTCAGGGGAAAATTATGTGACCGCTTGGGAATTGTTAACCAAGCGGTATGAAAATAAAAGGAACATATTTTTCGATCAATTGAACCGCCTTCTTGAGCTACAAAATTTAAGTTTGGACTCAGTTAGGCAGCTAAGAATGTTTATTGACACTATAAATGAGTCAATTCACATGATAAAATGAAAGGCACAATTATCTGATGAGGTTGATGTAATCTTTGCCCATATAATTATCTGCAATTATATGAAAGCCATGTTAAGACAAACAAGGAAATTCAAAAATTATCCGACGTCATGGATTTTTGCGAGCAACGATTAAATTCGATAAGCTCGATTCAGGAGGAAAAACCTGTTAAAAAAATATTTAGCAACAACATAAAAGAGTTGTCTGCTAATAGTTGTCCTATTTGCAAAGGTATGGGACACACAATATTTCAATGTCACAATGTTTGGTTACGCAGCCAAATAGTGGACAATGCATAGATTATAGTCTTCATCCCACACCTTTCTTTCTATCGCCTTTCGCTATCACTCTCTCGATCTGTCGCTCTCTCGCTCGCATTAGGGCACAGGCAATTCGGCCCGCCTGCCCTTTGAATTAGTCTTGATCTTGCAATCACTGCGCATCGTCTTGGAATCGAGCTATTCAATCTGACCCCGTCTTGAATCCAGCTAACTATCCTTTCGACTCTGTATCGCTTATTTACTTCACCACAATAAACTGTGAATATATATATTGAACAATCATCGCCTTTTTAATAATATCGCAATACAACGCTACTGAAGAAGCTCAGTAGCTCAACACACAAATTTAAGGCTTTAAATCCATCTGAAAGAATGGATAAAGTTAAAAAAGCGTTTCTGTGTTTTAAATGCCTAAAACACACACATAGTGTGATGGGGTTCTTCCGATGAAATAAGGGGCAAGCACGCGGTTATATAAATAAATGCTTTATTTAATAGCGTGTTAGTTGGCTTCTTATTCTTTAAATACAATTTTCTTAATTTTTCACTCCTCGCTGTTCCTCCAAATTCTCACAATCCCGGCCCCGATCCCGGTATCGATCGCTGGTCCGCGATAGTCTATCGATAGTTCACATTATGTTACTCGATAGCTATTTGGGGTGCTCTCGTGCCATTAGGGCTATTCTTACCACTGTGTTAATACAAATGAAACTTAAACTACTTAACAGCTCGGCCATTCTGACCTTTTGATCGACCCGATCAATTTGATTGCTTAGATTAGTATATATAAGCTGTTTAAGATATTACGGTATATTTTCAGAATCAATTACGACACACCATTTCGCCAGTCTGCCCATTTTCTTAATCTATTTGCTTCTATTATACCTTCGTAGGGTATTTGTGTTACTTGACCATTTTCTATATCTGTAATCACATATCTGTCGTTTGGTAGCGCTTTTTTCACAATATATGGGCCTTTAAATTTTGGTATGAATTTCTTATTTGAACCTATTGTAGTATCGACATTCCGCACCACCACAAAATCCCCAATGTTATGTACTATATGTGTTCTGTGGTTTTTCCTAAATACCTCCTTTGTTTTTTTCTGTACCTTCCGAATTTTTTCACCTGATGTCTTCCGTACTGCATTCAGACTCCGAGCCAAATCCGCTTTATCCTCTAGATATTCACTAAGTGAATCAATTTCGAGTCCTCTTTGATATACGCCGTATAACAATACTGAGGGAGCCTGTCCCGTAGTTGAATGCACTGAATTATTTACTGCGTACTCGACCTTACCTAACAATTTATACCAATCGGAATGCTAAATGGGATCTGAAATTTTTTGCTAACATCGCCTTAATTATTCTATTTATTCGCTCGACCTGACCGTTCGCTTGCGGAGATGCCGTAGCTACCTTAACGTGTTCAATATTGTTCTCCACCAGGAAGGAGCTGAATTCCATTGACGTGAAACAGCTTCCTCTATCACTAATCACTCTTCTTGGTCTACCATAATATTCAAAGTATCTGCCCAAACTGGAGTTTACTTCCTTCGTGCTTGTTGAATTCACGGAATAGAGCTTAACGTACTTTGTGAACGCGTCCACTATGACTAATATGTGTTTTTTCTTTGAAAGAATGGCTGGCAATGGCCCAAAATGGTCTATATGAATTGTGTCGAACGGAATCGGTTTTTTTTCAATATTATGTAGTGTACGATTATTCGCGTGTCTAGGTACTGAATTCATAATACATTTTAGACAATTTTTAATAAAATGTTCCACCTTAGATTCCATGCTCGGAAACCAATAGTGCCTCCTTATGTCCGCTATACACTTAAAAGCTCCCATGTGGCATAGCTTCTCATGTACCGAGCGAATCACATTCTCCTCCATTTCCGATGGGACATAAAGCAAGATTATATCATCTTTTATTTTTCTGTATACTAATCCTTCCTCCAGTGTAAAATTCTTTACTGGGCCAGACTCCAACTCATCTCTTAATTTGGTTATTACTGAATCTCTACTTTGGGTTATCTGTAGCTGAAGATTTATCTCATCCTCCTCTGATCTGCTTTACTTATATTTTGAATGTCTACGGAAGATTCTAAACACCTGCTCAGCGCATCGACATGCGACATGAATTTCCCACTTCGGTGCACAATAACATATTCATAGTTTTCGAACTCTAACGCCCATCTGGCAATTCTGGCATTAACGCTTTTTTTTATTAAGCGTGAGGGCTAATGAGTTACAATCGGTAACGATTTTAAACGGAATACCTTCCAGATATATATGGAATTTTCTTAATGAGTACACAATTGCTAACGTTTCCAGCTCGAAACTATGGTATCTCGACTCGGCTGAAGTTGCGGACTTTGAAAAAAACGCAATTGGGTGGAATTTCCCATCGTCTTGTTTCTGTAATAAAATACCACCGTACCCATGAATACTTGCGTCGCAATGTAATTCGGTTTCTCTACCTGGATTATATAATGCAAGAATTGGCTTTGAAGACAATCTAGAACATAAATCCTGAAATACTTTATGGTATTCTTTTGTAAACTCAAACGTAACACCTGGTCTTGTCAGGTTCTTAATTGGCTTAACTATTGTTGCAAACGCCGGAATAAACCGTCTAAAATATGAAAAGAGTCCCAAGCACTTTTCGACTTCGGACACAGTCTTTGGAACCGGGAGGTGCTTAATTGCTACTGTATGCTCTTCATTAGGCCTTATTCCCTTTTTACTAACTCTGAACCCCAAAAAGTCTATCTCTGTGGCGCAGAACTGACATTTCTTTAGTTTTAGTTCCAGTCGGAATTCCGTCAGCCTTCTTAAGACTCGTCCTAATAAAATTAAATGCTCTTCAAATGTTTTGGTGCCGATTGCAATATCGTCCATATAAACCGCAATATTGCCTTCCTTAACCAACGGCTGAAGTACAAAGTCTGTGAACCGTCTAAAACAGGCGGGTGCTATTTTTAATCCGAACGGCATTTTCACGTACTCGTACTGACCATTTGGTGTCACAAATGCCGTGTACTTAACGGAATCTTTGGCAACCTTAACTTGATGAAATCCACTTTTTAAGTCTAATATACTGAAAAAACGATTGCCCTCCAGTTTCTCTAGGCAGTCATCTATGCGCGCCAATGGATAACCATCCCTTTCAATAATTTTATTCAACTGCCTAAAATCTACACATAATCTTTTTTCTCCACTTTTCTTTTTCACTAGCACGGTTGCTGAAGAGTATGGTGATGTACTGGGCCGTATGTGGCCCGCTTCTAACAGTTCATTAACTAATGTTTCTAGTATCTTACGCTCGTGGTATGAAACTCTACGCGGTGCTGATGTTATCGGAACGTCATATTTCAACTTAATTTTCAATTCAAAATTATGCTCTACTGGACGTATCTTTGCGCTATCGACGTAGTTTGTTTTAATAGTTTGCTTAACGGATTTAATTTGATCAGTGCTTAAACTTGGACTAATAGAAAAGTCTTCCTCGTTCTGAACGTTAATACTGTGTATAAACATATCGGGATTTGAATAGTCGGAATCTAAAGGTTCGGAATCTGAATAGTCGGAACACACAGAAGCTGAATGATCTGAAGCTGAGGGCCTAACCTGCACTTCTACCTTATTGTTTTGATTTTCGGAAGCTGAAATGTACTTATTTTTGCAGAGATTACAACTTAAAATAGTCCTATCAGATTTCACCGAACTGAATATGCAGTGCAGAATTTTTTCAGAAATTTCCAAATTATATTTATTTGCCTTTAGTTCAATGTTTGGCGTTTCCATAGGTTCACAAAATTTTAATTTTAGGTTAAATCTTCTTAAAAAATCTCTTCCACATAAAATAGGATATGGAATGTAGTTATCTGGAACAACGTAACATAATATTCTGTGCGTAATACCAGAAAATGACATAAATATCCAGATCTTCCCAAATGTACATAACCGAAAACTTCCTAATCCTTTAAAGTTCGTTTCCTTCAAACTGTTTTCTCTTAATTGAAGTGGTAATGCGGAGTGACGTATTAAACTAATTGCGCTGCCCGTATCAAAAAGAGAAGTATACTGATTATAAATCCTATCTGGCGTATTTGTAGTGTCGCAAGAGATTCTTACCGTGTTTATTACTGCCACTTCGTTATCGTCTAACTCCTTGGTAGTTTCTTCCTGTCGGAATTGATCCGATAATGCCACCGCTGTATTCCCTGAAGGTGGTGGGGCCTTGCAGTTCTTGATAGAATGGCCCATGGATCCGCAACGGAAACAGGAGCCCTTCATCCTCTTGGGCTCTGTACACTCCTTGGCGATGTGTCCCACGCCCGAACAATTGTAACAACGTACAGTACCTCCACTATTGTCCGGAATGCTCTTCTGTCCCAAGAGTCCCGATGCGCTCCAACGTTTTTTACGCATCTCTTCGTAACGGTGTGACAGCTTCACAAGTTCGCCAATAGTTTTGGCCGGATAGAATATAGCAATGTCAGCGGAATCATCCTTTAGCCCGTCGATCACGAACTGGACGGCTTGTTCTTCGTCGATCGGAGCTCGTTGCGCGATTTCTTGCATTTGCAGCACATAACCTATAACTGACATCTTTCCCGGGCAATAAAACGTAGATTTGAGCGTGTTTATTACCTCTACCATTGAGGAAATCCTGCCGAATGTGTCCAGGAAATCTTTCTTAAAGGCAGCATACGACGTAGCCTTGTTTACTTTCAGAAACGATTCTGCGTCCGTGTCCGCCTTCATTAAGCGTCGCACGCACCTGAGCTTAAACGCATCCGTCCCCTTGCAGTTCAGCTCAAAATCTTCGATCCAAGCATGAGCGCTGTTTACTTTTCCTGCATTCGGTTCCATAATCTGCATAATCTCCTTGAAGTTGGCCAATTCGTCCACGCTCCCCTTGCGCAGTTCTTCCAGGGCTTGTTTCCTCTGGAGCAAACATATCTCTGCTTCTATCATAAGGCGTTCGGCTTCCAGCCTCTTAGCTTGTGCGTCTGGCGAAATTTCTGGAACGTTTGCTTTTATTTCCTTATTCTCGATTCTTTCATACGCTAGCGCCATTTGCCATTGCCAGTTGCCGAAGCTGTCTGAATGTTGCAGCCTGATCAAACTCAATGTTATTTTCGATCAGCCACTCTGAAACCTCGTGTTTGTCCATATTCTGCCGAAAATACGACGCCACGCCGCAATCTAACTGTACCGAATATGTAGTGCTATCTCCCTTCTGCTACCGGAGTCTTATGTGCTGAATGTATGAGTGGTGAAAAAAATTCCTTTAAATTGTAGGCACGTTTCCTTTATCCCACTTCTGAAGTTGTGATGGGGTTCTTCCGATGAAATAAGGGGCAAGCACGCGGTTATATAAATAAATGCTTTATTTAATAGCGTGTTAGTTGGCTTCTTATCTTTAAATACAATGTAATTTTACACTCCTCGCTGTCCTCCAAGGGCTAGGTTGGGCCTGGGGGGGGGGGCGGGGGGGGTTGGGCGGGGGGGGTGCGGGGGCGGGGGCGGCCGACCCGGTATCGACGCCGGTCCCCGATAGTCTATCGATAGTTCACATTATGTTACTCGATGCGTGCCCGTGCCATTAGGGCTATTCTTACCACTGTGTTAATACAAATGAAACTTAAACTACTTAACAATAGTAAGAAATGCACTAGCGAAACATCATGTTCGCTGTGCAAAAGAAATCACCATAGCATGCTACATATTAATTATGTAAACAATAAAAAAAATGAAAAAGTTAACACTTGCATGACGTCGGAACAAGCGTTGTTAGCTACAGCGCGTGTTCAAATAAAATCTTCTAATGGACAATTTAAAACATTGAGGGCTTTGATTGACAGTGGGTCACAAAGTACAATTATTTCAGAAGAATCTGCGCAGATTCTGAAATTAAAAAAAATTCGATCTCAAACAGAGATCAGTGGCGTATCGTCCACGGGGAAGTGCATATCGAAGCACAAAGTAAATCTTCAAATTAAAAGTGAAGATTTACAAAAAAATTTAAAGGTTGAAGCCATAATACTGCCAAAACTAATGAAGGCTTTTCCAGTCAACACCGTGAATGTTGACAAATTAAAATGGGAAAAGTATAATTTAGCTGACCCCGATTTTAATAAACCTGGCCGTGTTGACCTTATAATTGGGGCAAATTTATACGCTCATATTCTACAGAATGGAATTGTTAAAATCAATGGGCTCTTGGGTCAAAAAACGGATTTCGGGTGAATTGTCTCTGGGTGTAAAAAATCGAAAGGAAAAGAGGCAATTGTTGCAACCACTATCGAATTAAAAGATATGGATCGATATTGGGAAATGAAGGAAGAAGACAAAAATGATATCGAATCTGAATTATGTGAAAACAACTTCATAAGAACAACAAAGAAAGATTCAGATGGGCGATACATTGTGTCAATTCCATTTAAAGAAGATGTCACCTTGGGAGATTCAAGGAAACAAGCAATAGCTCGTTTTATGAATTTGGAGAAAAAGTTAGAAAGGAAGCAAAAACTTAAGGTGGACTATACTAAGTTCATGAATGAATATATGGACTTAGGACATATGGTTGAAGTAAATAATGAAGGGATTAGAGATTCAAGCCTAACGACCAAGCTAAGAGTAGTTTTTGACGCTTCAGCCAAAACTAATAATAATAAAAGCTTAAATGATATAATGTGGATTGGTCCACGAGTTCAAAAAGATATTTTTGATATCATTATTAAGTGGAGAAAATGGGAATATGTTGTATCTGCGGACATCGAAAAAATGTACCGTCAGATAAAAATAATTGAAAAAGATCAAAAATATCAATACATTTTATGGAGAAATTCTCCGGTGGAAAAAATTAAAAATTACAAATTGACAACCGTCACTTATGGTACTGCATCTGCTCCATATTTGGCCACCAGAGTTCTGGTGGATATAGCGGACAAATGCCAGAACAAAACGAGAAGGAACGTGCGAGTCGCTTCTGGGGACGCGACTCTACTTATACCAGTACTCAGTCAGTATATACATTTTTGAGCTTATGATTTTTAAGAATTTTAGAAAAAAAAAAAAATTTTTACATTTTACATTTTTTTGCTACATATGATATCTACATCTACATATACAATGTATATTCTACATCTAACATGTAGATTTTACATGTTCCAATTAGATTCTACATCTCCTCCGCTAGGGGTTGCTCGCGCACTGAACGCGGCAGAGTGTGCGAGCGAGAAGGAAAATGAGTTGCGTTGTCGTTGTAAGGAGGGCACAGGGGAAGCAACTGAAAATTAATTTCTTCATTCTGGCAATAATTATGATCCGATCTGATTCAGATTCGGCAGTCTGGTAGATATGGGCATTCTCTAAGATACTGCGTTTTTAGTTTTATCGTATCTTTAAAAATGTGCCTGCCACAGATTTTCGTCCTTTGTGGGGGCGGAAGGGGGCGGGGCGAAATTTTGAAATACACTTGTAGCAGTGGGATATCGCATGAGTCTGGAAACCAAATTTGGTTGCCCTAGCTCTTATAGTCTCTGAGATCTAGGCGCTCAACAAGACGGACAGACAGACGGACAGACAGACATGGCTATATCGACTCGGCTATTGATGCTGATCAAGAATATATATACTTTATGTGGTCGGAAACGTTTCCTTCTCTGCGTTACACACATCCACTTTTACCACAAATCTAATATACCCCTTAACTCTTTTTTGAGTACGGGTATAAAAATTAGTGAAATAATTAGGAATGATTTCTACATGGATGACCGGATTGACCGGAATGACTGGCGCGTATTCTATAAAAGACGCAAAAAATTATATTAAATTAATTTCAAACGAACTACTAAAAGTTGGATTTAATTTAAGAAAATGGATTTCCAACAATTCGGAAATAATAGAAACGGTGGAAGACACTGGTGACAATAAAGTTCTTAGTATTATTGAGAATGAAAGTGTTAAGACTCTGGGACTTAAATGGGAACCCCAAAAAGATTTATTTAAGTTCAATGTAAGCTGCGGGTCATCCAAAATAACAAATACCCGTTCTTAAATACTGGAATAGATTATGCAGGTCCTTATTACGTCAAATGTTCCAAAACTCGTGGGCAAAAGACATATAATGGATATATTGCTGTATTTGTTTGTATGGTTACCAAAGCCATAAATTTAGAAATGGTCAGTGATTTAACTTCTGATGCATTTTTAGCAGCACTTAGAAGATTTATCGCTAGACGCGGTAAATGTGCCAACATCTATTCCGACAACGGAACAAATTTCGAGGAGCTTCAAGAAAGTTAGATCAAGATGTGGTTACAGCAAACCAAGAAAATACTATGATTGCTGCGCAACTTGAAAAAGATAGAATTGATTGGCATTTTATCCCCCCGGCAGGACCGCACTTCGGAGGTATCTGGGAGGCTGGATTAAAATCCATGAAGTATCATCTTAAAAGGGTTATCGGGGACAACAGCCTAACATACGAAGAGATGTCAACGCTCTTGTGTCAAATAGTGGCATGTTTGAACTCAAGACCTTTATATTCTGCAGAAAATGGAGTTGATCAATAAGAGGTTCTTACCCCAGGTCATTTTTTGATTGGAAGACCACCATTAGATATAGAGGAGCCAATGACAGATGAAAAAATTGGAAATCTAGATAGGTGGAAACTAATCCAAAAGATAAAAAGAGATTTCTGGGTGAAGTGGAAAGAGGAGTATTTGCATACTCTTCAGCAGAGGCACAAATGGAAGAGGGAAAGTCCTAATATAGAAGAAGGACAAATTGTCATCTTAAAAGATGAAAATTGTCATCCAGCCAGATGGCCAATAGGAAAGGTGGAAAAAATCCATAAAGGCAAAGATGAAAAGGTCAGAGTGGTAGAGGTAAAATTGCAAGATGGATTTACCACTAGACCCATCAGTAAAATTCGTCCCTTAGACGGAATTAAGTCTGTCGCCAAGGTTTAGGCTGACACTGAAGAGATCCAGCAAAAAAGGCATACTAGAAGTTCATCGAGAATGTCAAAACTGATGAGGTAAATAGGAATTTTAAGGGAATGAATACGCGAATTGAGAATATGACTGCTACACTACAAGAATCATATTATGTGTACAGAGAATCTATCAAATTCTTCATGATAACCAAACAATTAAGTAACATAATAGATGAATGCGAGAAAATACAATCTGGAATCATAAGCTTATTAATAGATATTAATCATGGTCGACTTAATACTAACATTTTAAAGCCCAGTCAATTAAAGGGTGAGATTTCAAAAATAAAAGATAATTTATCAGAAAATTACGTTTTGCCAGGGAAAAGAACTGGCACAGAGCTAAAAGAAGTTTATTCTCTGCTAACAGCTAGGGGCTTATTTGTTGACAAAAGACTTATAATATACGCGAAGATACCTTTGTTTGGTCGACATGCGTCAGCGTTATTTAAAGTTGTTCCAATACCAATCAGAATTGAAGAACGCATGATTATGGTGCACGTCGATGTTCAGTATTTAGTTTATAACTTCGAGATAGATGCATATCACCTTATGAAAGAATCTAACCTCAATAAGTGCAAAAGGTGGCAATCTAATAAAAGAGTTTGTGAAGGAAGTTGGCCTTGGAGTAGTGCCAGCGATGGCAGTTGTGAATTGAAGCCTTTCAAACCAAATAGAGCATCAAATTGCATATATAAGTCAATAGTGGAGAGCAAGTCGTATTGGATAGAGTTGGAAAGAAAAAGTAGTTGGTTTTTTAAGGTTGAGGATAATGCAAGGGCTAGGATACAATGCGGCACCACAAGCTTAGAGATAGTAGATTTGCCGGAACAGGGGATTTTAACAATTAGGTCGGATTGTACTGCTCGAGTTACTGATAAGATTCTAATTCCTCATCACAGTATAGAAACAGAAGATCAGGGAACATTGTCTTTGTCATATATAGGAGACATCAGCGAAATACCCAAGATTGTTTGGAACCAATTAGACTCACCAATTAATAATCTGTTGCATTTCAGGGTAATCGATGAAATAATTTGCATGGTGTTTGCATGAAGAGGAAAGATTTCCAGACAGGGTGGCAAGGCCGAGGTTGAAGGGGTAGTGGTGAGCGGATAGTGGCGCCCCCTAGTCGGGCGATCTTAAAACTATGAGAGATCCGCGCGCTCTTGAATTCCCTTGTGGAGAGAGGAGAGCCTCGCCTCTCACATACCGGTGTCCCGGAGCCAACTCACCCACACACCCTTAAGGGGAGAGAGCGGTTACCAGGAAGAGTAGGCCATGCCCTTGAACCTGGTTCAAGGGCAATAGAAGAGATCGACCAACGATATAGGTATGGGAAGCTTAGGCAGTAAGGGAGAGATCAAAAAAAATCGTTGGCGGAAGACAGAACAAAAAAAAAATCGTTTTACGGATCGGGCTCTCAAAAAAAAAAAAAAAATAATTATTAAGTCAGGGAGGAAGTAGAGCTGCCTAGCGGGACGGATCGGAGGCAGATAGACGAGCAAAGCTGGAAAAAAAAAACAGGAACAAAAACAAAAGTTCCGCCGTCCTGTCCACAGCGGCATGGTCCTTCGCCCGGACTGGAAGTGGACCCCAGAATATCGTCCCCGTCTTCCAGCAAAGATTTGATTAAATCCCATTTAAATATATACACATACTTTAGAACCCACTAGGCCGTCACATATCTGTTTATACATTTATTTATTTATTTACCTTTAATTATATTTATTTATTTATTTATTTGGTATTATATATGTAATTGTCCCTATTTATAATTATTTATTTATTTAATCATATTTAATATAATACGCCCATGCCCATAATTTAGGTCGCAGAAAGGAAGAGATTAGGATGGGGATTAGGGGGTCGACCTAAACCAGATAGGAGCTATTAGAATATAAAAAGAATGTGTGTAAGATTTGATTTGAATATACGAAAAGATGAAGTGCTAAAGTTTTAAAATGGGGGGAAAGCGAACCGAGACTACGGGAGGATGAAGAAGATGCTGCACATGTCAGGGAGACCCGAGATCCGGATCCGGATCTCTGGTAGGTGGGTACGTCGGAGGTACAAGACAAACACCTCAACCTGGTCCACGTAGCGGTAGGAGGTAATTTGTCGAGTAGCGTCTGTATGGTTTATTTTTGATGTGTCGTTACGTTAGTTTCCGTTTTTGTTGTAGCTGTTTCAAATGTTGTCCGAGATGATCGATTTGTTTGGTTTGTTGTGCGAACAGAGGGCTTGGGAAGTATGCAGCCCTGGGATGACTGGCTAGCCGGCCTTGCCCCACCACCAAGATGTTCGTAACAATAATGGCGCCCAATCTTAGAAGAAAGTATAAATGTCCAGCGGAGAGAAGCTATCTCGGGTGGTAGTTTACAACCTAGGTCCGTCGGTGTTCCGGTGGCCTGTGAGGGATTGAATTGTTGGCTCACAGATGCACGGCGCTGGGGGACCTGGAAATGTAAAGAATCCACAAAGTAAATTTGTTTTTTTGTTTTGTTCAGTTTGCACTTATCTGACAACGGGAAGCAGGAGCTCTAGATGGGGACTTAGGTTGGCACTGGCAGGGGAGAATCCTCAAGCCAGTTAGCAACCGTCTCGATGCCTGGTGTGCGAAAAAAGAGTACCTGGAAAAGAAAGAGTACCGGTAGTTAGATGAAGGCAAAATAGGGATATGTTGCTTCCCCTACTTACCACTGGATGGGATCGGGAGGGTAGTATCTCGAAGAGATGTTTGTTCCGAGTGGCCCGTGGGGACATGAGTCGGCCACGCGTAGCACTCGGAGCAGCTACAATATCCCGTGCAGAACGTCCAGTAGGGTAGTGGGCATGAAGCAGCGAGGTAGGAAATTGAGCGCCCTTGACTCTCAATCTTCTGTAGAAGATGGGACGTCAACAGCGCTCGCGAAACGTATAGAAAGTGGACGAGGAAAGACGTAGAAAGTCCGGTGCAGAGTATTTCTTGTAGTTATGTGGTTCCTTTGCCCCTTTAGTGTTTTTTTTATACCCGTACTCAAAAAAGAGTTAAGGGGTATATTAGATTTGTGGTAAAAGTGGATGTGTGTAACGCAGAGAAGGAAACGTTTCCGGCCCCATAAAGGATATATATTCTTGATCAGCATCAATAGCCGAGTCTATATAGCCATGTCCGTCTGTCCGTCTGTCCGTCTTGATGAGCGCCTGGATCTCAGAGACTATAAGAGCTAGAGAAACCAAATTTGGTTTCCAGACTCATGTGATATCACACTGCTACAAGTGTATTTCAAAATTTCGCCCCGCCCCCTTCCGCCCACACAAAAAAACTAAAAACGCAGTATCGTAGAGAATGCCCATATCTACCAGATTGCCGAATCTGAATAAGATCGAATCATAATTATAGCCGGAATGAAGAAATTAATTTTCAGTTGCTTCCCCTCCCCCTCCCGCCGACGACAACGCAATTCATTTTCCTTCTCGCTCGCACACTCTGCCGCGTTCAGTGCGCGAGCAACCCCTAGCGGAGGAGATGTAGAATCTAAATGGTACATGTACAATCTACATGTTAGATGTAGAAGATACATAATATATGTAGATGTAGATAACAGATGTAGGAAAAAAATGTTAAATGTAAAATTTTTTTTTTTAATTCTAAAATTCTAAAAAATCATGCTCAAAAATGTAAATACTGACTGAGTACGGGTATAAGTAGAGTCGCGTCTTTAGAAGCGACTCACACGTTCCTTCTCGTTTCGTATTTTGAATTGTGTAGAAGAACAGCGCGTAAAAGGTTGCCTGTAAAAATTTGCTAGAAATAAAAATATTGATTAATAATTACATAGGATAGGTCGTTAGAGTTAGTTAGGGATAGGTTGATGAGCAGTTACATCTTGCGGTCTAAGCGGAAAATGACTCGTAGGACTCCGCCGCCAGGATTCGTCCGCGAACAAATGCAAAACGACGATAGCCGAGGTGCCGAGGGCGGTGAGGACAGCTGGAACTTGCCAGGAAATCCGATCGCGCTGTCCTCAGAAATAGTGTCCGGCATAAATGTCGCCATCGCGCAAGCTCAGGAGACACAAAGAGGAGCCATGGCAGAAACCATCAGTAGGACGCTACAAGAGGAGATACGGCGCGGCTTTATGGAACTGATGGGTGCCATAACGGAGGCGATGACACCCCTACGGCAGAACGTGGAGATGATCCAGGATACGGGAACAGGAAAAGGCCAGACCGGAGGTGGTGGCAATACACAGGATGGCGGCTACCAACAATGTCCAGAGGAGTACACGGAGAGGGCAAATACCGGCAGCAGGCCCAAGGTGTCCAGGGATGATGTCATGCAAAATCCACCGCAGCCTCCAAGGAAGCCGGAGAGGTTAAGCCAAGACTGGTTCCGGAGAATGGACATCGAGGATCCGGTTCCAAGCGCAGGAAGGCAGAATCGCGAGCCATCAAGTCGGAGGTTCGCATCGCCAGAGGAAAGGAGAGATGATTGGAGAGGCTCCAGATGGGGACGTGTGGACAAGTGGGACATCCACTTCGACGGCGACCCAGATCCCAACAAGATGACGGTGGAAGATTTCGTCTTCCGGGTCGAGTTCCTACGGAGGCAGAACCGACGCTCGTGGGATGAAGTCCTGGATAATTTCTATCACCTTGTCAAAGGCCAGGCAGCCGAATGGTATTGGCAATTTATCCGAGAGCGCCCTCCGGAGATCTGGGAAGATTTGAAGGACGAGTTAGTGTCCCGGTTCCGAGCGGCGAATTTGAGCGGTTACGCGCCTTGCACGAGCGGCGACAGCAATCTGGAGAATCCGTGGAGGACTATTTTAGAGCGATGCGCAGACTGGCAGCAAGACTCACCACGCCCATGGCCGAGTCCGATATGGTGCAAGTCGTGAAGAAGGGACTTGATGATGAGATCGCCAGATATGTCTACGCAATCCGGGTCCGTAATCTGGAGCAGCTGAGAGAAGAGTGCGTGGAGGTGGAGCATCACTTTCGCAGGCGGGAGCAGAGGCCAGTTTATCGCTCGGGGCCGAAGTTCCAGTCATCCGGAATGCGAGTGGAGGAGATAGAGCCAGAGTTGGAACTGTTGGAGGAGGAGGAAGAGGTTATGGTTGAGGAAACCCACCTGACGAGCAAGCCCAAGCTGTGCTGCTGGAACTGTGGCCAAGGTGACCACGGATTCCGGGATTGTGTGGCGAAAGAGCGGAAAATATTTTGCTACCGTTGTGGGGAGCCAGATATGTTCACGCCAACATGTCCCAAGTGTTCGGGAAACGCTCGAGTGGGCGTGATGAAGGCGGGAGATCATCGCCCAGGAACGAAGCCCGCGAGGAGATGAACAATCCTCTTCCTAATAAAATTACACAAAATATTAATAATAATAATCAAAATAATATAGTAAATAAAAATAGTTTAAAATTCTTACCGGCCGAAGAGAAGATGAGGAGGTACATGGAAGTCCAAAACCGGATCTTTGACGATCGGCAGCTGGAAGGGATGCGCAGAGTCAGTCGTAGACTCCAAAAGGCTCGATCACGGTTCCGGAAAAGGCGACAGACTCGCAAGGAGGTAGCCGAAGCAGTCAGGCGTGGAACAGGACGCGATCCCAGAGTTTTTGCCGAGGTACGGATCCGAGGAAAGCGGATTGCTGGACTCCTGGACACGGGGGCATCCGTAAGCGTACTAGGTAAGGGCAGTCGAGAGCTCCTGATGTATGTCTCAATTGTAAAAACAGCTTCCGGGGAAGACAAGTCTATTATCGGGAGGATAAAGATTTCTGTGGAGTATAATGGAGAGAGCAAAGAGATCTTGTTTTATGTCTGCCCGTACCTTGAACAGGCTATGTATTTGGGAGTTGACTTTTGGAGGTCCTTCGCTTTAGCTCCAACAGTCTTGGGAGAAAAGACAAGCACATCCAGCGAGGCACAAGTATCCGAAGTGCAGATGCCGCAAATTAGCCAATATGCCGAAGATAGCCAGGAAGACGTGGATGTGGATGCCTGGGATCTGGAAAAAGGGGAATCGGAAAAGCTGGAAAAGGTTAAGAAGGAGTTCCTGACGTACGAAGAAGCCGGATTGGGAATAACGACGGTGGAGGAGCATCGGATCCATTTGGTGGAGGGCGCTGAACCCTTTAAGGATCGGCACTATCCTCAATCTCCAGCGATGCAGAAAGTAGTCTGGGCCGAGGTGGACAAAATGCTGGAATTAGGAGTTATAGAGATAGTCCATGGAGCAATCGGACGACGGTGGTGCGGAAACCAAACAAAAACCGATTCTGTATGGACGCCCGAAAGCAAAATCAGCTTACCGTTAAAGATGCTTACCCTCTTCCGAGCATTGAAGGCATACTGTCCAGGATTGACCAGACGTATTACATCTCAAGTGTCGACCTCAAATTCGCGTTCTGGCAAATCAAGCTGGATCAAGAAAGCCGGAAGTGCACTGCATTTACCGTGGCGGGGCGTCCGCTGTATCAGTTTGTGATGATGCCTTTCGGTCTGTGCAACGCTGCCCAGCGGTTGTGTCGGGTCATGGACAAGGTGATCCCGACTCAGCTCAGATCCAACGTATTTGTGTAACTGGATGACCTCCTAGTGATAGCCCCGGATTTCCAAACGCATCTCCGTTATTTGAGATTGGTAGCACAATGCCTGAAAAGAGCCAATCTAACAATAGGATTAAAAAAGTCGAAATTCTACTTCAGGTCATTGAAATACCTGGGCACGCTGCAGATGGATCCGGAGAAGATTTTGGCCATCCAGAGAATTCCCAATCGAAATTCCGTGAAGGAGCTACGAAGTTTCCTAGGAACCGCAGGATGGTATAGTCGCTTCATCAAGGATTTCGCGTCCATCGCAGTACCACTAACAGATGCACTGAAGAAGCATCCGCGTGGGAAGTTTTCATTGTCAAAGGAGGCAGAGACGGCGATAGAATCCCTTAAGAAGGCACTAACCACGGCCCCGGTACTGGTTCATGCTGATTTCAGACGTCCCTTTTTCATCCAATGCGACGCCTCGAATTATGGAGCTGTACTGTTTCAGCTGGATGATGATAAAGCGGAGCGTCCAGTGGCATTCTTCTCGTCCAAGCTGAACAAGCACCAGCTGAACTATTCCGTAACGGAGAAGGAGTGCCTAGCTGCGGTGTTAGCGATCGAGAAATTCAGGCCGTATGTGGAATTAATGGCGTTTACCGTGATCACTGATCACGCAAGCTTGAAATGGTAAATGTCTCTAAAGGACTTGAACGGGCGTTTGGCGAGATGGTCCTTGCGGCTTCAGAGGTTCGACTTTGAGATCCAACACAGAAAAGGAGTCGACAACATCGTGGCGGATACACTATCACGCTGCATTGAAGAGATTGCTCTAGATCCCACGGAGATCCTCGGATTCGAAACCACGGAATTCGAAGCGGACGAGTATAAGGAGATGCGAGAAGAAATCTGCAAAAACAAAGAATTATTACCAGATCTTCGAGTAGAGGGAAACCTTATATTCAAGCGAACGGCCTTTGCGCAAATGGACGACCAAGTGGAAGGTTCCATTTGGAAGTTATGGATTCCCGCGTCTGTGACAGCAACTCTCGTCGCCAAGGCCCATGAAGACCACAAAGCTGGACACGGTGGTATGAAGAAGACCCTGCATCGGTTAAAAAGGCACTATTACTGGCCAGCGATGACGACACAAGTGCGGGAATATGTCCGAAACTGCACCACCTGTAAGGAGTCCAAAGCACCGAATTATCGCAGCCAAGTAGAAATCGGTCAGAAAGTAGTTACGGAGAGGCCATTCCAGAAGATCTATATAGATTTCCTGGGGAAGTATCCCAGGTCGAAAAGAGGACAGGCCTGGATTTTCGTCGTCGTGGACCATTTCTCAAAGTTCACATTTCTGAAAGCGATGAGAGAGGCCACCGCGGCAAATGTGGTAGAATTCCTTGTGCATGAGGTATTCTACAAGTTCGGAGTGCCAGAGCTGATCCACTCCGACAACGGAAAGCAGTTCGTCTCAAAGGTGTTCCAGGACATGATAGGCACCTTCGGAATACGACACATGCGTACAGCCGTATACTCGCCGCAAAGTAATGCAGCCGAGAGGGTGAACCGGACGATATTGGCTGCAATAAGGACGTCCTTAGAAAAGGATCACCGAGACTGGGATATGTATTTACCGGAGATTGAAGTGTCGATCCGGGACTCAGTGCACGAAGCCACAGGCGTAACGCCGTTCTTCGCAGTGTTCGGACAGCAAATGTTCCTGAATGGCAACTGCTACAAACTGGCGAGGAAGTTGCAATCGTTGACGGAGCATGAGGTGCACGCCCTGGATCCCACGGATAAGCGTCAGATCATCCGCGAACATATAAAGAAAAATTTACACCAAGCATATGAGCGAAGCAGCCAACGCTACAGCAAACGGGCCGGAGTATTTCACGCCAGACCTGGTCAAGAAGTCTTCCGTCGTAACTTCACACTCAGCGACTTTGGCAAGAGCTACAACGCCAAGTTCGCACGGAAATTTGTCTTGAACTGGTGGGAGGGGGGGGGGGGGGGGGGGGCCCGCGGGGCGAACCTGGTTTAAGGGCAATAGAAGAGATCGACGGGGCTTGGCGACCAACGATATAGGTATGGGAAGCTTAGGCAGTAAGGGAGAGATCAAAAAAATCGTTGGCGGAAGACAGAACAAAAAAAAAATCGTTTTACGGATCGGGCTCTCAAAAAAATAAAAAAAAATAATTATTAAAAAGGAGGAAGTAGAGCTGCCTAGCGGGACGGATCGGAGGCAGATAGACGAGCAAAGCTGGAAAAAAAAAAACAGGAACAAAAACAAAAGTTCCGCCGTCCTGTCCACAGCGGCATGGTCCTTCGCCCGGCCTGGAAGTGGACCCCAGAATATCGTCCCCGTCTTCCAGCAAAGATTTGATTAAATCCCATTTAAATATATACACATACTTTAGAACCCACTAGGCCGTCACATATCTGTTTATACATTTATTTATTTATTTACCTTTAATTATATTTATTTATTTATTTATTTGGTATTATATATGTAATTGTCCCTATTTATAATTATTTATTTATTTAATCATATTTAATATAATACGCCCATGCCCATAATTTAGGTCGCAGAAAGGAAGAGATTAGGATGGGGATTAGGGGGTCGACCTAAACCAGATAGGAGCTATTAGAATATAAAAAGAATGTGTGTAAAATTTGATTTAAGGTGAAAATATACGAAAAGATGAAGTGCTAAAGTTTTAAAATTGGGGGAAAGCGAACCGAGACTACGGGAGGATGAAGAAGATGCTGCACATGGCAGGGAGACCCGGATCCGGATCCGGATCTCTGGTAGGGTGGGTACGTCGGAGGTACAAGACAAACACCTCAACCTGGTCCACGTAGCGGTAGGAGGTAATTTGTCGAGTAGCGTCTGTATGGTTTATTTTTGATGTGTCGTTACGTTAGTTTCCGTTTTTGTTGTAGCTGTTTCAAATGTTGTCCGAGATGATCGATTTGTTTGGTTTGTTGTGCGAACAGAGGGCTTGGGTAGTATCCAGCCCTGGGATGACTGGCTAGCCGGCCTTGCCCCACCACCAAGAAGTTCGTAACAAAATAAATTACCCACCGAATCAGCAAAGGTTAAAAAATTAATAGCTGATTTAGATGATAAAATAAATTATATTATCCACTACACTAATCCCCAACAATGCGTAGCCAATGGTTTAAAATTAAACAAAATTCATAGAGGTATGCGTTTCGTCCAAAAACCGTGGCTTAAAGAGTATATAGATCTCAACACGCTGCATGAACAAATGCAACAAATTCCTTTGCAAAAGACTTATGGAAAATTCTTAATAATGAAGTTTATGGGAAAACAATGGAGAGTGTAGACAGAAGGATAGTAGTTAAATTAACTAATGAGTGGGAATCTGCATCACCAACTGATTCAGCTGGTGCTAAACGATTATGTGCGAGATCGTTAATTGCTAAGAGTAATTTTCAGAATTGTAAAAAATTCAGTGAAAACTTTTAGGAAATTCAACTGAAACAGCTGAATGTGGTGTACAACAAACCCTTATATTTAGGGTTTGTTGTGCTAGAATTGTCCAAGTGGAAAATGTAAATGTAAACCTAAGTTCGGGGAAAACGTTACACTAAATTACATGGATACAGATTCATTTATATAAACCATAAAAACTGATGATTTTTATAGCGATATTCGTAGTGATTTTAAGGATGAGCTCAATGGAAGACCCATGCTCGAGATTGTTGGGCTCCGGTCAAAAACTTATTCCTACAAAGTAGATGGAGAGGTGGTACAGACTTGTAAAAAGTCTAAGGGGGTGAAAAGAAGTGCTGTGGACAAGTTAGATTTCGGCTCTTATAAAAAATGCCTGCTAACAGAACAGCCAGTTAGGGGTGATTGTCGTTGATTAGGTCAGTAGGACATCATCTTACTACATCAACATGCAACAAAGTTGTACTTGATAGTAAAGATGATAAAAAATATATCGAAGTAAATAAAATTGATACCTTCGCCCACGGTCATCAGAAGTTGTTTGAAAAACGACTGTTGGCAGAGATTAGAGATATTACTTTAAAAATTAATGCATATGATTTAAAAATAGAGGATCTAGAAAAAAACCCAGGTTGGACTCGTGAACAAACCTGTCGTTACACCATAGAATAATAGTCAATAAGTAGAAAGCAATGAAGTTATGTATGGAATGTAATGTAGTTCGTAAGGTTACGGCATGAAGTCCCGCCACTGTAAATCCAAGCAACATGTAACTACACGCCCGCAGCATAGCCGACAAGCGATGCGTGGGAATAAAGCACTCGTAAATTGAACTTCGTTTCGCACGGTTTATTTTTTTGATCGCCCTTTATCGCCGCCCACAGCTCTGGTCTGTACTGCTAATTCCGCGTCTCAAGCCTAAGTAAAGGCATCAAACAAACAAACAAAAATAGTTTCGAATTTCCTACATGGCGCCCGAGCAGGGACCTTGGGATTAGTTTCGTTTTTAAATTAATCGTTGTTCGACCAGAACGCTGTTCGCGAGTTAAAGCCGCGAAAAAACCGCCGAGCCAACAATCGACAATCCAGAAGGAAGATCACGGAATCCACGGAAGACCACATTGGAGACCGCCATCCACACCTACAACCGAAGCAGAACATGGACATTGAGTTGCCAACGCCCAGGAAGTGGATTCATCCGACGACCAGGTAACAATGCCAAAGCAATAGCGGCTAAAATAATAGCGTTTAATACCTATTGGCTTGGCATTGAACAGTATTGTACATACATTCACCTACCGTTTAACTATTCGTGATAGCTGGGTAGTTCGGGAAGAGTATTAGAAGGCGCCAACGACATAGTTTACCGCTCATTTCGCATTTGGTAGCATTATTTCGCATTTCGTTTCGTTCGCTGAGAAAACATTGACCCTTGCAGCGGTAAACTAATTTTCGCGCTCTTTAATGTACAGCATACGGTTCTCTTAAGTTTACGTTCGTGCAGTACCCTCGTCGTAACTTTGCTCCCGCAGCTTCGTGGTTATCCAACTCTCTAACTGGTGTCGCCCAGCTTGTCGTTTGTGACGAGAGCTGATCATCCGCTCTTATATTGTGCCAATCAATTGAAACATCGTTCGCCACTTCGTTTTTGGGTCGAACGCTGTTCTAATTTAGGTATTTGTGTGCGCTTTGACATCTAATTTTCTAGCTGGTGTCGCCGAGCTTGTCGTATGCGCCAGAGAGCTGATCATCCGCTCTTATATTGCGCCACTCAATTAAACATCGTTCGCCACTTAGTTTTCGGGTCGAACGCTGTTCTAATTTGGGAGTCGAGTGCGTTGCGCGCATTAGAATTGCGTTTGCTTATTGGTTCGAACTTGGTTCGAGCTCAGTGTGTCGAGCCAAACTTGGTGTTGGTTGCGTACGCTTAGCTTAGCGTTGCGCGCATTGGAACTCCAGACGTCCGTTTCGTAGGGGATCGAACGTGGGTCGAGTTTGGTTCGCCGTGACAGAGCTCGGTTGCGTTTGTTGCGTTTTTGTCTGTTCTAACTGTTGCAGTCGTTGTCGCATCGAACCTAATACGTTTATACGTGGGTACTTGAATACTTTTGCCGTACTGTCAAACATTGTTCTCATTGAACGCAGTGCATTTCCTCAGGTTATCGTCGCCTTCGCTTAGCAAGTTTGAAGTTTAGAAGTTAGGAACAGCCAACGTTGGTAATTTAATCAACATGTCTAAAGATCATGATGAAGAGAAGGCAACTGGGAGCGGAATGTGTGGAAGCACGAAGCTCACAAAATTGTATGTGAGGTTGGAGAAGATAAGCGAAGATATAAATCGAATGAGGATAGCATTTGAGGAGGGTTCAATTTCGCTGGATCCATTACAAATCCAATGTCGTTTGGAAATATTGAACTCCTATATTGAAAAAGCAATGGCCCTGCAGTCCGAGATCGATGTACTAGACCCAGATAATTCAGATAGGGCGGCGTTGGAAGAAACGTGTGTGATCACAAAGGCTCTGTACATGTCGGCAGCGACCAACAGATCCCCTCAACCATACATGAATTCAGCACCCACACACCACCACTCCAATTTGCCAAAATTGAAGTTGCCGAAGTTCAGCGGCAAGCATGCGGATTACAAACAGTTTATTAGTCTGTTTGAAAGTTTGGTAGATTCCGACCCGTCGTTGTCCAATATAGAGAAGTTCAACCATCTCATATCGTGCTTGTCCGATGAAGCCTTGGGAACCGTTAAGGCGTTCCAAATGTCAGATGCCAACTATCCAAAGGCGTTAGAAAGTTTGAAGAGGGTGTACGACAACAAGTGCTTAATATTCTTTGAGACACTTGCCCAGTTGTTTGACATTCCTGCCGTAACCAAGCCGTCAGCGTCTGCATTGCGATCAACTATAGATACAGTGTCAGCCATTCTGGAGTCGCTTTTATCGTTAGGAGACGAGCGAGAGGTTGCTAACGCCATGATAATACATCTGGTGTTATCCAAGGTGGACCCATACACAAAAACAAAGTATGAGGAGCAGCTGAACTACGATGAGCTCCCTTGCTGGTCGGATTGTGCAAAAATGTTGAACCGCCGGTACCAACACCTTTCAGCAGAGGAGTCATCCAAAGCGAGAGGCAAACCAAAGTTTGACATGCCGTCGACCAGCAAGAAAACCAGCAGATCGTCATTTTCTTGCGCGAGGGCCGAAAAGTCGATCGACCCCAAGTGTGTATATTGCGGCGCCAACCATTCGATCGGAAACTGCCAGGGATTTGGGGCAATACCCGTCTTGGAGCGTTTCGAGTTCGCAAAAGGCAAGCAATTATGCATTAATTGCCTCCAATCTGGACATAGGGTATCTCAGTGCACATCCTCTAAGTGCAGAGTTTGTTCACAGAGGCATCACACCCTCTTGCATAGATACGCAGCTCAGAGCGCAGATTCAGAAAGTCAGGCAATAGGAGTACAAGCATCGTCCCATCCTGCGCAGGTGAAGCAGGCATCCAGTGAGCCCGAGCATGTCATCCTTGCCACAGCAGTGGTAAGAGTTCGGGACAGATTTGGCCAAGTTCACTTAGCAAGAGTGTTGTTGGATTCGGGTTCACAGGTCAATTTCATGACAGAAAGTCTAGCGCAATCGCTAAGGTTGGCAAGGGTCAACCGTTGCCTGACAGTGACATCTGTAGGCAAGTCAAGCTCGGTGTCGAGGAGTGAAGTCTCGACGACAATATACTCCAGGTTAAATAACCATAGTTTCGTAGCAGATTTCTGGGTTCTTAGCAGCATTACCAATCAGCAGCCTGACAGAAGTCTGCCCATTAAGCAGTGGAAAATTCCTGCGAATGTGGAGTTGGCAGATCCAGCATTCCATCGACCTCAAAGGGTAGATATGCTGATTGGAGCAGACTCGTTCTTCGATCTGTTGTGCACAGGCCAAATAAAACTGGGTGAAGGGGCACCATTGTTGCAAAAGACCCTTTTAGGTTGGGTAGCTTCAGGTCGGTGTAGCAAGCTTCTGACTGGAGAAGCCGCTTGCTGCGTCGCAACCTACTCACCGGAAGAAGACTCTCTGTCTCAAATGGTCGAAAGACTGTGGGAGATAGATGCAACGCCAGAAGAAAAAAATGCTCAAACAAATTCGGCAGAGCAGCTGGCATGCGAAGAGTTTTTCAAAGCCAATGTCTGCAATTTACCGACCGGAAGGTTTCAAATACCGTTGCCTTTTAAGACAGACCCAGTATCGTTGGGGTCGTCCTTCGAGGTCGCAAAACGTCGTTTCTTATCGTTAGAGCGACGAACGTTAAGAGAGAGTGAGCTGAGAGACATGTATCTCAGTTTCATGAAAGAATATATCGAGCTCGGCCATATGTCTCCGACAGACAACGCGATTCCGCCAGGACCACATTATTTTATACCACACCAGTGCGTCCTGAGGCCTGATAGCAGTTCCACCAAGCTTCGAGTCGTTTTTGACGCGTCGAGCAAGACCACAACTGGGTGGTCATTAAACGATTTACTTATGGTGGGACCTACTATTCAGAGGGAATTATTTTTATCACTCGTTCGATTTCGGGTGAATCGGTATGCTTTAACGGCAGACGTTTCGAAAATGTATAGGCAAGTGGATGTGGCCGTAAAAGACCGGAATTTCCAACTCATCGTGTGGCGAGAACATCCCACCGATCAATTGCAAATTTTTCGGTTGAACACAGTTACCTATGGTACTTCCGCAGCACCTTTCCTTGCCATTCGTTGTTTGCACGAGCTCGGTGTACGCCACAGAGACACCCACAAGAAGGGTTCTGAGGTGATCTGCAGTGATTTTTATGTAGACGACATGCTGACAGGAGCCGATGACGTAGACACGCTGAAGTCGATTTGCGATCAGGTGTCTGAGATTCTTGGCTCCGGAGGGTTTCAGCTTTCGAAATGGTTTTCGAACCATCCAGAACTAATGGATGGAAACAATGAGGAGAAATCCCTATCATTCAATGATGCCGATTCGACCAAAACATTGGGGATGAGGTGGAGTCCAAGAACAGATACGTTCCGGTATCACTTGGAAGATAGCTTCACAAACTTGAATCCGACTAAGCGCACCATTCTGTCAATTAGTGCTCGACTGTTTGATCCGCTTGGGCTACTTAGTCCAATCAGCATAACAGCGAAAATTTTCCTCCAGAAGCTGTGGCAGCTTCAGCTGGATTGGGATGAAGCCATCCCAATGTCACTGCATACAAGCTGGGAGAGGCTAAAGCTAAACTTGTGTGGTCTTGACAAAATAGCCGTGCCTCGGTACGTTATGGCTAGTGGGTGCTCGTCGATTCAAGTGCATGGCTTCGCGGACGCGTCTAGTCAAGCGTATGGGTGCTGCATTTATGTGCGAGCGCTTTTCGAAGGTCAAACGTACGTTCGATTGATCGCTGGGAAAGCAAGAGTAGCTCCCCTAAAAACAAAGACCATCCCGAGGCTCGAATTGTGCGCCGCAGCGTTATTGGCGCAATTTTGGGCCTACGTAAAGCAAGTTTTGGAAAAGTGTCGAATCGAGAGCGTATTTTTCTGGACGGATTCAGAAATAACGCTACATTGGATTAAAACCCAACCGTCGTCACTTGCAGTATTTGTCTCAAATAGAGTAGCCATGATTCAGGAGCTATGTCAGGGCATTACGTGGCGTCATGTCCCATCGCTGTCGAATCCAGCGGACTTGGCGTCTCGCGGATGCGAAGTGCCTGAGCTCCTGGAGTCCATATGGCTAGAAGGTCCGAAATTTTTATGTGAGCCTGAGCATTGTTGGCCAGAGAACCCGCATTTTAACATCCCAGATGATGTGAAGAACTCCGAGGCGAAACGGTCCGCCCAGGTTCTAATTGGCGTTGCGAACTCGTTTTCAAATGAAATATTTTCTCGTTTTTCGTCGTACCCCAAATTAGTTCGAGTTTTTGCGTATGTATACCGATTTGCTAATATCGGCAAGAACAAGGAACGTTACAGGGAGCTAACTGCAAAGGAGTTGCAGCAATCGTCTCTAAAATTGATGGAGCTGGTTCAGCGAAGCGTCTTCTCTGAAGAGTTTAAGAAGCTGAAGAAAGGGCATACGCTGCAACCGAGCCTGCAGATGATGGCCCCTTTTATCCAAAAAAGATCAGAGGAGGGGCGATCGTTTACACTTATCAGGGTCGGAGGAAGGCTGTTGCATGCTCCAGTGCCAATAGAGGCTAAGTTTCCGGTTCTACTTCCCGCCAAGAGTCAATTCGTCGAACTCTATTTAAGGAACCTGCATTTTAAAAATTGTCACGCCAATGCAAAGACATTAGTAAGTTTGCTGAGACAAGAGATTTGGCTAGTAAATGCACGTCGAGAATGCACTCGCATAGTGAGGAGATGCATCCACTGTTTTCGATACAAACCTAAATTGATGGGTCAGATTATGGGGAATCTTCCAGCAGACAGGTTTAGGGAAGGTCGTCCGTTCCTGATTTGCGGGGTAGACTTTTGTGGTCCCATCAACGTCTCGCTTCGGATTCGAGGTCGTCAGCCGCTCAAAATGTACATCGCGGTATTTGTGTGTTTCGCTTCGAAGGCCGTCCATTTAGAGCTTGTCCCAGACCTGTCGACTAATTGTTTTCTTTTATCTCTAAAAAGCTTCATCGCAAGACGTGGCGTTCCGCTGAGGATGTATTCCGACAACGGGACAAATTTCGTCGGAGCCCGGAACGAGCTGCAGAGGCTTCAGGAAGCGTTCGAGGAGCAGCAGTCCAGCCTGAGGACGTTCGCGGCGGAGCAAGGGATGGAGTGGAAGTTCATCCCCCCGCGAGCACCGCACTTCGGCGGTTTATGGGAGGCGGCCGTCAAGTCGGCAAAGCTCCTGATCGTGCGGCAGGTCGCGGACGCCGCGCTCACCGAGAGCGAGGTGAGGACCGTGTTGGCCGAGGCCGAGGCCATCATGAACTCCAGGCCGCTCACTCCAGCCAGTACGGATCCAAACGACGGAGAGGTGCTTACGCCAGGCCACTTTTTGATCGGCCAGCCCCTTCGTTCGCTGCCGCAAGGGTGCGAGCCAGACGGACGAAGCAGCGGTACCACCTTTACCAAGAGGTGGCAACTACTCTCCGAGCTCAAACGATGGTTCTGGCAGGCTTGGTCGAAGGACTACGTCCACAACCTGCAGGGACGCAGCAAATGGCAAACCCCAGAGGCCAACATCGAAGTCGGCGCCATGGTGGTGGTCCAGAACGACCATACGCCGCCGCAGCAGTGGATCACCGGCAGGGTCACCAGCGTCGTCGTGGGAGCAGACGGCAAGGTCAGGGTGGCAGAGGTGCGAACAGGAGGGGGCGTGATTAGACGCCCAATCCATAAGCTGGCACTTTTGCCGATACGTTGAAGCCCGACGTGCGGTCGTTCAAGGCGGCCGGAATGTCGTTACACCATAGAATAATAGTAAATAAGCAGAAAGCAATGAAGTTATGTATGAAATGTAATGTAGTTCGTAAGGTTACGGCATGAAGTCCCGCCACTGTAAATCCAAGCAACATGTAACTACACGCCCGCAGCATAGCCGACAAGCGATGCGTGGGAATAAAGCACTCGTAAATTGAACTTCGTTTCGCACGGTTTATATTTTGATCGCCCTTTATCGCCGCCCACAGCTCTGGTCTGTACTGCTAATTCCCGCGTCTCAAGCCTAAGTAAAGGCATCAAACAAACAAACAAAAATAGTTTCGAATTTTCTACAAAACCTCTGAACTAGAATCGTGTAAAAATGAAAAGGATACATCAGAGTGGATGATTGCATTCGCTAACCAGGAGTAAGAAATGTTATATGAAGACTTGAGTAAATAAATAAAAAAAAAAACGATAAAAATAAATAAAAAAAAGTCAAAAGTTAAATTTTAAACAAAACATTTAATTGATGTGAACTGAACTGTTACTTAAAATTGTATAAAAATTTTTCATTATTGTTAATTCTATTAGTATTAACAATTTTTTATTATTTATAAGTTTTATTAATAAAGAATATAATTGTATTATTTCGAAACATTTTTATATTACACAATAAACAAAAATCAATGAAACAATTAAAATTTTTCAATTACTGAAATTACAAAATGCTTAAAGGTATTTTTTGTTTATAACTGTTAACTACCCTTAATATAAATGGCTTTATCTACATATATCACCACCCACATCAACTAATGCCTCATCCGATGAATTTTCAATTTCAAGTTTAATAACTTGAATGTAGCTATCAATCCCGCCTAGAATAAAAAAGAAAAAAGGAAAAGAATATATTAATATCAGGTTTGAGAAAAAAAAAAATTTGATTTAATTTTTGCTTACATTCTATAGCGATTACTGTGTCATCATCCACGGCTGCTTCTTCTTTACTATATGAAAGGAGCTGTAAAAATATAATTTTTTTAACCCTCTCTCTCTTTCACTTAGTTACTCAACTTTAACATTGAGTTTGGATTTATAATCATTTAAACCTGACACTAGTAGAAATTCTTCAGGATCTCCGTCCGACTCTTCTATCGCCTTCAAATGCTCATCAAGCAATTTTTCGGTCAATCGCTTGTTATTTAAATATGAATCATTTAGAATCTGAGCCTGATCGCTTTGTATCTCACTGATGTATGAATCGATTTGATGATTCAAACTATTCTCCGCTTTAAAGCGACTAACACTTTCGTATAACATTTCCCTTAGTTTCTTATCACTAGCTCTCTCTCTCTCTTCATGGATTCAGGACTTATCGCCTCAGCATATTCAAAACAGTTAATTTTTAAAACTGATTTAAATTATACACTTTTCTCATTATTTGAGCCAAGGGGCGTCGTAAAATTCCCAGGTCGAGAATCCCAAGAAAAGTCCAAGTCAGAATCCAAAAGAAAGCCGGGGTCGTCAGTGTTCAATCAATTTATTGGTATATATGGGTTTGTACAAGGAGTACACGCGTGCGAAGGTAACCCGTGTCGCTTAGGATGAAGGAAACGAATGTGTTGAAGTTACGCTCAAGCTGCCGAGGGCTGTCGGCAGCGAGAGCGGGAGCGTGATCGTGGGCGGGAGCGTGCCCGTGGTGAATTTAAGAATGAAGAGAGCGTCGCCGGGGGGAAAAATGCTCTTAAGTATGAGGGCGAAAGCGAGGGCAGCCGCTTGCGTAGCTGGAGTGCTAACACTGAGATGTGGCTGGAATGCCCACAGAGCGGTTGCCCCGCCAGCGCCGTCCCCACTCTGAACATTCTCCCCCCCCCCCCCTTGCAGGATTGCAAAGACTTTTTAAGTCTGCGTGCACGCACCAGACACAATCCACCCAAACATCGTGCTTTGGGCCACGGGGAGGCCGTCTTCGCGGGCGAGGAAGTCCGGCTGGATGACCTTCGGATATACATCTGCTCCCAAGACGAGCGAAATGGTCGCCGGCTTGTGGAACTCCGTATTGGCCAGCTGCAGATCATCGAAGCGAGCCCGGACAGTGTCACTCAGTGGACGGATCGGGGTGCGGACGCGGAGACGGGGCTCGATTTTGAAGACGGCCTCCCACTGGAGTCCTTCCGTCTTAGCCCGGATTATGGCGGTGCACACTCTCTCATCCCCGATGCAGGTGGTTGGCAGCTTCAATTCCTGAGCCACATCGGCGTCTATGAAGCTGACCGGCGTACAGGGATCGATGAGGGCGACCATGCTGTGCGTCCTCTGTTGCACCGTGAGGACCACCCGTGCCGTCGGAAGGACGTTAATGCTCCGGTGCTGGAGCAAGGAGTGCACTGTCGGGGCCGGATCCCCGAGGACAGGGCGGCTGACCGGACGACGAGGGCGTCGCTCTGCGCGGGAGGTTGTAGGTGGAGACGTCGATGCCGAAGAGGAGCCGACGGGGCGCCGCGGTCCTGGAAGGTGGAGCAGGGTGTGGTGGTTCTTAGCGCACGTCTTGCACTTGTCTCCACTGCGGCAGTCCTTGCCCGAGTGGGCGTGAGCCAGGCAGTTCGAGCAGTATTTATGCAACAACACTGCTCGTAGCCTCTTCTCGCCGCTCATGCGCAGGAATGTTCGGCAACTCTTCAACGGGTGGACTCCTGGGCACACTCGGCACTTGAACGAGGCATTCCTACCTCGTGCCGGTGTGCTATCGGCTTTGCGGCTTGCCCGGGACTGCGCGGAATGTTTAGGTGCCATGGCTATACTCCGGAAGATGACTGTGATGGAAGAAAAGAGTCAAGGAAGGATTAGTACAGTGTTGGCACGGATTGTCAACGATTCGAAAAGGGAGCTTTCGGAACTGCTTAGGAACTACGGATATTATTGCTGGATTAAGCGGATTCTTAGGGATCGGAGCCTACGCGAGGGTAGGTGGAAGGGACTTCCGAATCCATAGGCAGCAGAACCACCTTCGTGATCGGTCGCTTGATAAGGCCGCGGGCGGTGAGTAAGTCTACCACGCGAACCTTTTCGTCGGGTCCCGGATACGTGCTCTGAACACGGCCGAGACGCCTTCGTGAGAGGGGATGTTTTCCTCCTTGATCACTACGAGGTCTCCAACCTCGAGGTCTCTTGTCGGATGCTGCCATTTGTTGCGCTTGTGCAACTCTCGCAGGTACTCTGTCTTCCAGCGCGAACAAAATTGCTGGTTGAGAGCCTTGAGGTGTTGCCAGCGGTTTAGGATGGAGGAGGCGCTCGCCTGAATTTCGGGCTCTGCCACGGATAGTAGCGGCCCACCAATCAGAAAATGACCTGGGCTCAAAGCCAAGCCAAGCGTTGGGTCAACATTGGAGCGATTGGTCGCGAGTTAAGGCATGCCTCAATCTTGGAGAGAAAGGTCGCGAACTCCTCTAATGTGTATTTGGAAGTACACATCGACCGTTGGAAAAGAGCCTTGAAGCTCTTCACACCCGCTTCCCATAAGCCCCCCATATGTGGGGCCCCTGGAGGGATGAATCGCCACGTTAGCCCCTGCTGGCTGTACACCGCGGAGGTCCGAGTGCGGAGGGCCTCGAGAAGGTCCACAGCCAGAGAGCGGGATGCGCCGACAAAATTCCTCCCGTTGTCGGAGTGGACTTCGTGGGGACAGCCTCGTCTCGCGACGAACCGGGCGAAGGCGGCTAGGAAAGTGTCGGTGGACAAGTCGGACGTAGCCTCCAAATGGATGGCCTTCGTGGTAAAACAAACGAAAACGCACACATACCCCTTGGAGATGCGACAGGCGCGTCCTGTGAAACTTTTCACGTCGAACGGCCCGGCGAAGTCGACTCCGGTGTATGTGAACGGCCGCGAAAATGTAACTCGTGAGGAAGGAAGGTCGCCCATTAATTGGGTTTGGAGTCGCTTGCGATGGATGACGCAGACCTTACAGGAGTGGATTACTGCCCTCACGACGTGACGTAGTCGAGGGATCCAGTATGTTGCCCGGAGAAGGCGGATGACCAGCTAGTTCCCACCATGTAGGGATACGTGATGGGTGAATCGAACCAGCAGGCGAACCAGGAGGCATGCGGGTGGCAACAGGATTGGATGCCGCTCGTTGTAGGTCATGGATGCCGAGGCTCGGACCCGGCCACATGCCCGCATGACTCCGTTCTGGTCCAGGAACGGATTGAGGTTCTGAAGAGAGCTCGTAGTCGGAAGTGGCTGCTTGCTTACAAGACAGCGATGCTCCGCCGTATAATGGAAGCGTTGGGTCGTGATGGTGACAGCTTGGAGAGCTGCAGCGACCTCTTTATTGTCTAGCTCTGTGGATACGTGGACTGGCGTTGCTTGCCCTCTGACGCGCTAGCCGAACCGCCGAACGTAGGCGATCACGCGCAGAGCGCGTCCGAATTCGGAAAATCGGCTGAGAATGTCCGAGGCGGTGTCAGTGGCGTGGTGAACCTTGACGGCTCGTTTCTCCAAGTCGGTCTCAAGGATTGAGCCTCGTGGACAAGGCCACTCCGACTGCGGACCACGCAGCCACGCAGGGCCATGCCACCACATGTCATTGCCGACCAGTTCAGTGGGTCCGAGCCCTCGACTGGCGAGGTCGGCCGGGTTGTCCTCGGATCGGACGTGGCTCCATCGTTCGCGGGGCCAACAGCGAGTGATTCTGGCGACTCGATTCCCTACAAAAGTGGTCCAATCACATGCCGGCCTGTTCAACCAGGCCAACACAATAGTGAAATCGGTCCAAAAGTACACCTGGCTGGCGTCGAGCGGCATTTGAGGAAGGATGGCCACGGAGAGTTCTGTCAGAAGGACAGCTCCGCACAGCTCGAGTCGAGGCAACGAGACTGTTTTCACGGGGGCAACGCGGGTTTTGGCTGTGACAAGGGTACACACAATGCCCTGCGGACGCTCAACTCGGACGTAAATCGCTGCCCCATAGGCACGTTGAGACGCGTCGCAGAACCCATGAATCTGTACCTTGGCCATCGGACAGACGTGTAACCACCGCGGAATGCGGATCCCTTGGATGGCCGGAAAGCTTTTCAGGAATGTCTCCCAGGCTTGAGACAGATCGTTAGGAAGGACGTCATCCCATCCTAACTCTCTCAACCAAATCTCCTGCATAAATATTTTCGCTTGGACGACGAAGGGGGCAAGCCATCCCGCTGGATCAAAGAGCTGCGCGATCTGGGACAGTACATTGCGCTTCGTGCAGGATTTTCGCTCGTTTAAGGCGGGAGGCGAAAAGAAGAACTCGTCGGCACTGGCTTGCCATCGGATTCCCAACGTCTTAGCGATGCTAAGTAGTTCAGCAATGGCGGAAATTGCCTGAGACTGAGAGTGAGCACCAGCGAGCACGTCGTCCACGTACATGTCGCTCTCCAGGATGACGCTTGCCATCGGCAGCTGTGGACGCACCTCTTGTGCGAGTTGCTTGAGGACGCGGAGGGCGAGGTACGGTGCGCAGTTGACTCCGAAAGTGACAGTGGTGAGCTCGTAGTCACACACGTCCCCGTTACGGTCGCGAAACAGTATTCGCTGATAGGGCGTGTGTTGGGAAGCCACTTGGATTTGCCGATACATCTTGTTGATGTCGGCATTGAAAACGTAGCGAAAGACGCGCCACCTCAGGATTTGCATGGTCAAGTCAGACTGAAGGACTGGCCCAGCATGCAACGTGTCGTTGAGGCTTTTCCCGTTGGAAGACGGGCTGGAGGCGTTGAAGACTACGCGCAATTTGGTTGTGGTGCTGTCGGGTTTAAGCACGGCGTGATGTGGCAGGTAGAAATGGCCGGAATCATGACTAGGTGTAACCGCTGTCATGTGGCCGAGCTCTAAATATTCCTGAATGACGGAGTCGTACTGCTTCTTGAGCGGCAAGTTCCGCTGCAGCCGCTGCTCTTTTCTAAGGAACTGGGCCTGGGCCGCGCTTCTGGAGTGGCCTAGCTCGACTTTTTCTGGACACTTGAAAGGGAGAGTAACAACGTATCTCCCATCGGGGGTTCGTTTAGTGGTCTGGAGGAAGTTTTCCTCGCACACTGAATCGGACTCGCTCGTCGGTCTCCCCGGAAGGTCCTCCACCTCCCAGAATTTGGTGAGAAGCTTCTCGAGTCGGAAATCCGAATTAAACGAGAGCTTCGTGGTGAAGGCGGAAACCGTCCGAGCCGAGTCAGCTGATACCGGACCGGATAGGACCCATCCGAAGATGGTCTCTTGTCCCAGCAGCGAGCCACAAATGGCAGACTGGAAGCCGCTCAACAGGATAGAAGGAAGGATGTCAGCGCCTAGAAGCACATCAATCTGCGAGCTTCGGTGGAAGGAAGGGTCTGCCAATTGGAGGTTTGGAAGGTTATCCAAGAAGTGCTGCGGTATCGGATATGAAGGAAGGTTGCCTGCTAATTGAGGCAGAACATATGCCGTGGTCTCGATCTTGAGGCCCGGCCTGGAGGCGGCCCCGATCATGAAGTGGCAACGCTTTTGCGCCTTAGCCGCTACGGTTTGGTTTAAACCCGCGACTTGAGCCTGGATAGCTTCGAACGGTGGCTTAATGATGTTAAAGAGGCGTTCAGTGATGAACGTCGCTTCGGAGCCTGAGTCGATCAGAGCGCGGGCACGGAAATTGGTCCCCAGGTGGCAAATATTAATGAGTGCTGTGCCCAGAAGAACGGTACTTGTGCTGGAAGAGAAATAGCTCTTTACGTTGGGCTGAGAATTGGACGAGCTGGGGGTTTGGGCGGATGTCGAAGCCGCCATGTTGGACGCGGCGTTGGACGAGGCGCGGAACGATGCAGAAGCGTGTGATGCCTGGCTCCACAAGTGGAACAATTGTGGCTGCTTGAAGCTGATGGCCTCTTGCGAAGCAATTTAGGCACAGCTGTTTTGTCTTGATGCAATTGGAACGTGGGATCGTCGGATCGGGTGATTCTCCTTGGAACAGAGATCACACGTCCTCTTCTTCGGACTCACTTGGTTCTTGAAAGAAAGAACCTTGTTCGGCACCGAACTGCCGTGCGACCGGAATGGATTGGATCGGTTGCAAGAAGTGGATGGATTCTGGCCGCCTTGGGAGGGTGGCGGATTCGTAGCCACTCGGGAAGTGGAAGGGTCGCTCTCAATAGCTTCGAGCGTCAAATAGCGCTGAGTGAGGAAGGAGTCGATTTCCTTCCAGGGCGGCACTTCCTTCTTGTCCGTCACGGACGCTTCCCATAAGGCGCGGCTTAGCTTCGGCAATTTTGAAGCGCAGATAGTTACAAGCAGACTATCCCAATTGTCCGTGCAAACGTTGGAGACCGCTAGCGCATTTAGGACTCCCTGCATCGTACTTTGAAGTTCCTTCAAAGCACGACTGCATTCGGAAGTTACGCGGGGCAAGAAGAGGAGAATGTTAATTTGGTTGGTCACCAGAAGCCGATTGTTCTCATATCGGCTGCGGAGAGCCAACCAGGCGGACTCGAAACCGTCATTCGTGAGGGGGGACTTTTCTACAATGGCCTTTGGGTCGCCCCTGGTCTTCTCGGTGAGGTAGTATAACTTCTCTACCGGAGATAATTTTGGATTGTTTATCACGACCGCGGTGAACAGATCCCGGAATGTGGGCCAGCGGACGTAGTCCCCTGAGAAAACCTCAATATTGACGGGAGGCAGTCGACAGCCGCCCTGTTGGACTGGCTGTGCGTGAGGAAGGACTGCGGAGGGGGCCAGCTGGGCATTGAGGTCGCTGAGACACTGCTCAAATACCCCATAGCATTCGCCATATGTTTCCCGGATGTCCGCTTGGATTTCTGGATCCTCGTCAGCCATCACCGCGGAACAGGCCTTGTATTCGGCCTCGACGTCCGTCCACATGCTGAGGATTTGGCCTCGGCGGACCTCGGACAGAGGGGCGGATGGGGCGGAAGTGATACGCTCTGCCAGGTGGGATAGTCGGCCAATGGCGGCTACCAATTTGGTCCGAGCGGCAGAGGTGGCGGATTGAGCCATTGTGGTGAAGTGGCGAGAGCTGACGGGACTAGTGATGCAGCCTTTCGGATCCTGTTTAGTCACCGATGGAACCTTAAGGGTCACCGGAGACGGGAATAGGACCGATTTGGTCCTTGTAGCAGGGCTGCTACTGGCTGCTCTCGGAGTGAGGGATGCCTTGATTGGCTGTGTCGGAGTAGTTCCGGAGGCGGACGAGGTGCGTAGCCGGTTGGACGAGGTCACAGGCAAAAGTTGTTTGCCGTCCTTGTGACCTGTTGGCATAATTTAAAAGGACCCACGCAAGAAAAAATCGTTTTTTTTGGAAGTCTGTGAGGGACTGCAGACTGGTCTGAGTAGAGTTGACTCGGAACCGTCAGGAAACACCCGTAACCCAAACACGGACTATCAGACAAAAGGCCTCAAGCTAGCTGGAAGGCAATAATCGGAACGACTCGGATTGTTTGAGATCACCTGTAGGTGAGAAATCTCAAACAATGAGTGACCCTATATTGAGCCGAGCTGAGGAGAGGAACGGTCACACTGGAGTAGCAATATCTGGAAATATTGACTGTGCGATGCTCCTCCGTTTACCCCTTGACGCAGTCGTGAGCGGAACTGGGTTACTATCGGATGGAAGGAAGCAATGGAAGCAGGCACGGACACCTCACAGAAACGGAACAACAATAATTTCTTTATCAAAACAAAAAAAAATATTTTTTTGTTTGTGAACCAAAAAAAAGACTTGGAGGTTTCTCTTGGACGTGGTCGGAGTATTTAATTATTTAACTAATTTATTTTTTTTTCTATTCGGATGAACACCGGGTTCGGATGCCGATAGTTTTTGGGCCACCTCTCACTCTCGGAACAAAAAAATATCAAAACACGCAACACAATTTGCCAATTTGTAAGGTAAATTGCGAAATAATTACGGAAAATGCGCCGTGCCTTGGTCGCGAGTAATTAATTTGGACTCTGGAGAATGTGGGAGAAATTGGAGACCTTGCGAAAAGTGGCTGGAGGGCACGAATTTCACTTAATCGCGGATTTTCAAATATGGCACTTGCGCGGAGTGGTGGAATGCGGTATTTAATTATTTGGTATTTTTGTTGAATGTGTGTATGTATGTATATAGTTGGGAGCCAACTATGCAAGTAATAGCCTTTTTACACTGGGCGCGACTGCTATCGATATCGGCATAGACGCAATGAAGCAGAAAAGGCGTTTACATTGGAAGACGTGCGTCTTGAATTTGGATTTGGGTGTTTGATGACAAGGAAAGATACACAAATTTTTGAAAATCAACAGAATTAAGCAAGACGTCAGGAAAATGGACGAAAAAGAATTGATTCTCATATTTAAATATTATTTTCAGACATTTCATTGTAGAGTTTGTGGGAGTTCTTCTTCAAATTATGAAAACCACCGAAGTTCGTCTCCAGCAGTGTCTTAATGGCATCAGGGGGTCAGAAAAATTTCATATGATAATAATACAATCAGTTTCAAGTATTTTATTTAATGACTTTATGTATATTTTCACCTTTTTGCACAATCATACATTTTTAGCGCCAAAATTTGATTTTTGATCTACAATTTGTTGTTGTTATTAGTGGTGATAGTTGCGCTGATAGGCAGAAAATACCAAAAATGACCAAAATCAATCGAATATACCGAATAGACGCACATGAATCAGACACTGACGCAACTTTTTGCCACCACTAGGGCCCTATGCTTAACCTATGTAAAAAAAACTGCGTCTTCGCCAAGACGCAAAGAAGCATGACGCAGCCCCAGTGTAAACGGCCTATTAATGTAATAAATAAATAAATAATAAATTTAATTAAGAAAACACAGGTAGCTGGATGGATACTTTTATTGCTGCTGTAATGTGTATATGTTGGTATGTGTGTGTGTTCACTTGCACTTGGAGTGTGCCAGTGTATATTGTATTAGGGTAGGCGCGGATGGAATGCTCTTGGAGACCTGTATATCAATGTAGGTGTGTGTGAATTCACTTGCACTTGGAGCGTGCCAGTATATATATTATTGGGGTAGGGCGCGGATGGAACACACTAGAAAAATATTAATGTATGTGTGTGTGTATGTACGCAAGCCGCTCTCATGGGCTGGAATGTGCGTACATACATAGGCGCGGAAGACACTTTTATTTAATATATTGTATTAAATAATAAATTATTTTGGTAAATAATTTGTCCGCGAGTTATGGACGGACACAAGAAACCGACGAAAAACTACCGTATTACTGGTAATTCGAAGTGAAGTACCGGAGAACGGCCGGAATTGCCGATAATATGGCGGTGGCGAAGTTGGAAGCACTACGGATAACGGAGATGGCGAGAGTACATATTTAAGACTATATATATGTACTTCGGTCGCGGCACTTTGAACTCGCGGAATTTTCTCTGGAGCACAAACCGCGAAATGGAGGCGGTTTATGGTAAAGAAGGCATGCGTACTTATCTTGTGATTTCCTGGTGAAGGCGATGCCGTGCTCGAAGGCTGGAGAAGCTTTTGGGGAAGCAGTAAATCCGGCTCGAAGGACCAATATTTGAGCCAAGGGGCGTCGTAAAATTCCCAGGTCGAGAATCCCAAGAAAAGTCCAAGTCAGAATCCAAAAGAAAGCCGGGGTCGTCAGTGTTCAATCAATTTATTGGTATATATGGGTTTGTACAAGGAGTACACGCGTGCGAAGGTAACCCGTGTCGCTTAGGATGAAGGAAACGAATGTGTTGAAGTTACGCTCAAGCTGCTGAGGGCTGCTGGGAGCGAGAGCGGGAGCGTGATCGTGGGCGGGAGCGTGCCCGTGGTGAATTTAAGAATGAAGAGAGCGTCGCCGGGGGGAAAAATGCTCTTAAGTATGAGGGCGAAAGCGAGGGCAGCCGCTTGCGTAGCTGGAGTGCTAACACTGAGATGTGGCTGGAATGCCCACAGAGCGGTTGCCCCGCCAGCGCCGTCCCCACTCTGAACACTCATTATCAAAATCTCTTCTCAATATAGATCTATAATGGCACTTTATGCCACCCATTATATCATTAAATTGCAACTTGAAATATCTGTTAAACCCCCTGTGTCCTATATCCATTTGTCCCCCAATAAACTGCTCTGTTCTGACTAAATTCTCCTTAAAATTCTTTATTATTCCTCTCTTGGTAGTTAATACTAATGTATTTTTATTCTCTAGTGATGTTTTTAGGGTTATATTCCGTTTATAAGGATGACTTACGCTATTATCTTTATCATCATCAACGTCATCATCATATTCATCAATATTACTAGTTATCCCGAAAAGTATTTGTTTGCTTAATGAGGTTGAGGTTTCGGATGAGGATTCGAAGGTGTATTTTCTATTTCTACTTCCACCTCATATATTCTATTATCTTAATATTCTTTTGTAATCAAATCATCAGCATGTGTCGGAATTAGACAATTTTTAATTCGTTTTTCTTCTACATTTAGATGTCCGTCCGCATCAATATGAAAACCTATTATTCTTTTGACATCTGTTTTAAATTGTCCTAAGTGTAGTTGATGTTGCTGCTGCTGTTTATCACTGAATCCAAACTGAATCCACTGTTTATCCAAACTTGTCAAGTGACATGATGAATATAAGTTTAATATTGGTGTGTGTAGTATATTTATTCTCGATCTGCAAACGGATTTTTTCTAAACTTCGTTACATCTATTTCTATATTTTGTGTCTTTGTAATTTTACAGTTTTCCAGAACAAAACTATTAAGATTATTTACTCTTCTAATAACCTCATTGATTATTCCATTAACAGTATCAATGAGTTTAATAAGATCTTTAATTTGTTTCTCCAATTCTTTTACTTTAGCATTTCGCTGGTCATGTGCTTCTGAAATAGTTGCAGTTTGTCTAGTTTTAAGTCCTGTTAATTTATCATCAACATATTGCTTCACAACCAAATCATTACTATTTACCGGTTTCGAGCAGTTCTTAATTCGTTTTTTCAGAGCATTTAGATGACCATCTGAATCAAGGTATAACACAGTGGTCGATTCTGCCTATCTGGCAGGCAATAAATCAAAAATTAAAATGTCGAATCTTGTTAATTTTTTTTACTTTTTGGAAAGTAAACATCCCACTGATATTTATTGCGATATTTATATATTTTTCGTATCGATAGTCCAGTACCTGCACGCGGTTGAATCGCAGCAAACTTTTCTGTCCATACCTAAGTACATTTTACCGCCTTTTTATTGCTTTTGGTAAAGCAAAATAAATCTTAATGTTTTGCGATTTGTATTAAAATTACCATCCATTTTGATCATAGTTGGTAAGTATTCAATAAAAAATATATGTGTTGGTCCCGTGCTTGCATGTATTAGAGGTAAATCGTTGTAGAACTTAACATTTCCTTTAGTGTGCTATTAATATCGTACCCGACACTTGCATGGAATAGATCTTTTGACATCCGCCCCCTTCCGCCTTCAATCTTTTTTTATTTATGAAACCAGTATTTTTTTTAATCTTCTGTGTTAAAACAAATTGCAACTACTTGCAACACGTTAATTTATTTGATTTTATAGGGAAAATGGCAGTGTCAAAAAGCACGCTTTTCGCGATGTTTCGTAAAAAACTGAGTAAGAAAAAAAGCTGAAGCGAGTTGGATCAATGTTTTCGCTCAAATAATTGATAATTGATAAAAACAAACTCAGCGAAACTGATTGTTAGCGAATACAAAAAAAATTAATTAATTTTGCCTCTGAGTGAAGTGTGCAGCAGAAATTTAAAATACTTCAAAAAACAGACCATAAGTTTTAATTTTTACCTATACTTTTTTTGTATTAATATAAAGTGTTTATAAAAACATTTTATAATTACGGCATGTATGTACATATAGCGCA